CACCGTCTTCTGGACCTTCTGTCCTGTTCATTGCGAACCAGCTGCTCGTTCAGCTTTTGGTATTGTTATCTTTTCTGCACCTTTAGATTTTGAACAGACGGATGACAACCCGATCGACCTCCGAGACTTGCTTGCGCGGGTGTTTTCCACGCCCCTCATTGTTGCAAGCGTGTCTCAGGTCGGCTGCCAGGCTACCATATATGATCGTTTTCGCTGGGTCTCGCGCCATGCCAACATGTCGGAGCCAGTGTCCTCCTGTCGCTGCACCGAGAACGGACATGTTCGGCGGACTTGCCCGGCCGTCCTCGAGCATCTCTGACATGGCAACATCTGTCCTGGAAATGTCTTGACTCTGCTGGTATTCAAGGCTTGGCACCGCAATTAAGGATCAATCGACCTCTGAGGTCCGGGCCGGTTCTCCATGCTGAGTGTGCTACAGAGGATTTCGAGTTTGGATGGTGATACGTGACTTGAGCCTCCAGCAAGACGTGCTGTCGAGTGCAACGCGCCATGGCACCGGCCGGGTACTAGGGACGATTGTGGCGTGCATAGACCGACGACGCTTCTTCGCTTTTTCCGAACAGACTTGCTGGGTGCAGCAGCTGCAGTGTGCGGACTGTACCTCGGAACGCGGCGAGACACTCAACGGGGGCATGTGCGGCGGCCCGCGCCTGCTTCTACTACCACTACTACTACCACGACGACGACTACTATTACTTCTACTATTATTATTATTATTACTACTACTACTACTGTTATACTTACTACTAACTGTTAGCTTCATTGATTGAACAAAGCTAGGTAAGTATGTTTCATTGTTTTTCCGTTTCCTACCCGTGCTACAGCAACAACAACAACAGGTGCTGTCGCTACCGGTACTGGTTGGTTTTACGGAAGCACAAAAAAACAGCAAAATTACCCAGGCCTGGTTCCCCCCGAGCCGTCAGTGCCACCTGACGGTCCCGGGGGGATTCCTAACAGTCTCGGACCTTAGTGTGGAGAGCCTCACAAAGTACAAGGTGGCGAGTACTTGCCTTCGCGGGTCCTCCTCTACCTTAAAGGAACGTGCGAAATGGAGGCACGCCTTGCCCGGTACTTTGCCGTTTGCGTGCTGCGGCGCCGTTCTGGACGCGCGGGGTCCGCGCAGCCACGTTGCGTGCATCCACTCAAAACATAGGGAAACGCCTATCGTGGCGGCAAATGCACGCCCGGCCGTGCCCGAGGGCAAGCAAAGGCAACGCCAAAAATCCGACATTTTACGGTGGACGTTTTTTTTCAGATTTGCTACGAAACATAGGCATTTCGCTATACTTTGCACAACTGTGCAATCTCCTTTGCGTGGTCGTCGACGATTCGTCCGGGGGGGGTCTGGGGGTGTCCGGGGGGTGTCCGGGGGGGGTCCGGGGGGGCCCCCCGGCCACTTGCGTACATCTTGTCCGGGGGTGTCCGGGGGCGCCCCCCGGTCCGGGGGGGTCCGGGGGGGTCCGGGGGGGTCCCGAGGATCCGGGGGGGCCCCCCGGACGGACCGTAATTAGAGTACATATAGCATATGTCAAATATGTCATATATGTATTCATAAGTCTATATTTATATATACATTACGTATGTGTACAGATACACCGATAAACATGCATATCTACCTGCGTGGATATAAAGATATACCTATATATGTATAAACACACCTATATGATATATATGTATACATATACATCTACTACTACTAGTACTAGTACTGCTAACTATTATTTTCTTTGATTGAACAAAACCAAACAAGTGTTTTTTTTGTGTCTATCTGATTCCTCCCCGTGCTCGCTTCCATACTTTCATCAACTTACTTTAAGGAATTAAAAAAATGTTTTAGATTGCGAAAACCAGTGCACAATTTTTACTGTTTTTTTCCACGGCTTTGGTGCCTCGGCAACGTTTTCACTTTACCTAAAGGAACGCGCGAAACGCATTTTTACATTACCGAAAACCGACAATCCGTGCAATCTATTACGGAAAGCTGTGAGCCAACAAAAAAAGCTTCAAAATGCTTGGGTTTTTGCTCTCAGAATTCTACGGTTGACATATTCCTATCGAAATCGTTAATTTTACGTTTTTTCGGTTGTCAAAAATTGGACGAAAAAGGCAGCGAGACCAAAATCAAGCCAAAAAACCTAGGTATTTGCCTACGAAAATTAGCACGCGCGGAATTGCGGCAGGCAAAAAGGCAGCCCCGAAATGGACGTGTCACCGAGATCTGAGTGACGCCACCCAGTTCTGAGTGACGGTCACCAGGTTCTGAGTGACGCATAATATGGTTTTAATAGGGGCTTAATATGGCCATAATAAGGGCTTAATATGGCCATAAAAAGGGCTTAATATGGCCTTAATAAGGGCTTAATATGGCCTTGATAAGGGCTTAATATGGCCATAATAAAGGCTTAATATGGCCTTAATATGCCCATAATAAGGGCTCAATATGGCCATAATATGGGCTTAATATGGCCATAATAAGGGCTTAATATGGCTTTAATAAGGGCTTAATTCGTGGATTTTTGGTTTAACCTCGGACAAATCGTAATTTCTATGCTTTAGCATAGCCTTCTGACTCCTGTAAGCCAGCCGTCATGTACCCTCAAACAAAAAAAATTAAGATACTCACCCTTAGAATGCATGCATTGCTGCAGCACTCGCGTCTTATACGACCGCATGCATTGCTGCAGAACTCGCTTCTCGTACCTTGCGAAAGAAGATACCCTCCGAAAGAAAAAAAGAGTTTAGGAAACTAAACCCTAAAAGGCGGAGCTGGTTAAGGGTGGGAGCCGCCCTTTATGGGCGCGGGTGGGAAAAGAAAAACTGGAGCGGCCGACCCAAGGCCCCAGTCTCCGAAGCTCTCATGCGCACTCCGAAACCGAAACAACTCTCATCGGAATTGGGCGCCCAAGCGGGGTGGCAACGACTGCTGTGCCTTGCGTAAACCCTAAACCCTAAACCCTAAACCCTAAACCCTAAACCCTAAACCCTAAACTCTTAAAACCTAAACCTAAACATAAAACCCTACTAAAAACCTAACCTAAAACCCAAACCTACAACCCTAAACCCCAACCCTAAACCCTAAAACCTCTCACCATCTACTTTACCTACTCAATAGAATCTTTTTTAACCTTATAGTTCTGTACCAATACCTCCCTACCCTTTTCGTGGCTCTGATTCAAAAATCGTGGGGATCTTGATCAAAAATCCTGTGGCTGTGATCAAAACCTCGTGGCTCTATTGATCAAAACTCGTCGGATATTGATCACAAACTCTGCTTGGATCAAACCTCGTGGCTCTTGATCAAAACTCGTGGCTCTTGATCAAAACTCGTGGCTCTTGATCAAAACTCGTGGCTCTTGATCAAAACTCGTGGCTCTTGATCAAAACTCGTGGCTCTTGATCAAAACTCGTGGCTCTTGATCAAAACTCGTGGCTCTTGATCAAAACTCGTGGCGGTTGACGTCCCCCTAGGGTTTGGGCACTAGGGTTTAGGGCCTAGGGTTTGGGCACTAGGGTTTAGGGCTAGGGTTTGGGCACTAGGGTTTAGGGCCTAGGGGTTGGGCACTAGGGTTTAGGGCCTAGGGTTTGGGCACTAGGGTTTAGGGCCTAGGGTTTGGGCACTAGGGTTTAGGGCTAGGGTTTGGGCGCTAGGGTTTAGGGCCTAGGGTTTCGGCACTAGGGTTTAGGGCCTAGGGTTTGGGCACTAGGGTTTAGGGCCTAGGGTTTGGGCACTAGGGTTTAGGGCCTAGGGTTTGGCACTAGGGTTTAGGGCCTAGGGTTTGGGCACTAGGGTTTAGGGCTAGGGTCACTAGGGTTTAGGGCCTAGGGTTTGGGCACTAGGGTTTAGGGCCTGGGGTTTGGGCACTAGGGTTTAGGGCCTAGGGTTTGCGCACTAAGGTTTAGGGCCTAGGGTTTGGGCACTAGGGTTTAGGGCCTAGGGTTTGGGCACTAGGGTTTAGGGCCTAGGGTTTGGGCACTAGGGTTTGGGCACTAGGGTTTAGGGCGTAGGCCTAGCGTTTGGGCTTGGGCCGATGTGATTGGGGTTAGGCCTAGGGTTGAGGCTTGAACGTTGGTCGACGGTGGCGTGATTCATTGCGTGTTGCATGATCAAGTTGTACAAGGGTGGGGTGGGGATTGTCAATACTTGTAGCATGAGAAAGTTGTACAAGGGTGGGGTGGGGATAGGCTGGAAATTATCGATCGCGGCCAGGTGCGCGGCCGCGGTCATGCTGATGCCTGCGTTTACATGCCAGGCGTCTGAAGATTGATCGGCTGCCAAGTGAGAGTGGTAGACACAGCTCTTGTTTCCTTTGGAGGTGCCCGCCCGCACCTGCTGAAGATTGAGAGAATTGTTCTCTCCGTAGGGTTCCAACATTTGGGCTGCCACGGAGTCGTAACTGAACAACTTGACTCGGCGCTCCTTCTTCTTGTCTTGCTCGACGAGCTCATCGTCAACTTGTTCGAAAAGTCCGCTTGCCATGTTAAAGCGAGAAGGACTGGCAGGAGAGCAACTAGCACACGATTTGGGTAAAGAGCTGCAACAGTTTCTTCAAGCGAGTGCGAAACAACAAGGTCACGACATGCATGCAACACTTGCAAAGTTAATTTTTTGTCACAGATGCCTGCGTATGCTTGCATGTTAACTCAACACCGGAGAGTCTCCAACCCTCGGCGTGGCAGCATTGTACATTGCAACACACTGTAAAGATCGCTTGAAACATCACCCCTCTGCTCCCTTGCCGTGGGGAAGCTGCAATCTGTTAAGATGCCAAACCTGAGAAAGGTTTAGGAATCAAACAAGCAAGATGCACTTGAGCCAGCAACTTTGCTGCCAAGCTCTTCCTCTGGCTTGCAGCTCTTCCTATGGTTTTGCATTCGTCACTGATGGGACGCAGTCCGAAGTTAGCTAGTTGATGCGAAGAGCATAACTATTTGCGACCAGTGCAGTGACCCTTGACATGACGCATAGGCTTTTAGTGCTAGCTGCTGGTAGACAAATCCCAATCACTTTGGCTGCCCATCAAACGATATGGGTCGACGGAGGAGTCCTCGTTGGTCGATGGCTCGAAGCTCGGCTCTTCTGAAGTCGATCCGGTTGGTGAGCTGCCACGTGGTGACTGTGTTTCAGTGCTCGATTCGATGATGTCCATCTCTTCGCTGCTGTGGGTGCTCTCGCTGAACACAGACACCTGGTTCTGCTCCGAGTTATCGTTCTCGCCGTTAACTGCTCGCCAATCGGTGCGGCGAACACGGCCGAGGAGAAAAACGTCTTGTCGACGTTTGGCTCGGGATAAACCAACGTAGCCGTAGCCTCGGTCAGGAAGCCGTCGATCAAACCACAACCCAACCTTGTCCAAAGTTGCTCCCTGGGCGCGTCTTATGGTTGTCGCCCAACCATACGAGACTGGCAGGAACTTACGTCCTTGCTGTGTCACAGGGTGCACCAGAATCGGTAGTCCTTGGTCGGACTGCAGAAGAAAGACATCGGACCTCAGCATGGCTCGAACGGTGCCGGTATTCCCATTCACAAAGCCCCTGTCTTTGTCAATGTTCTGGGTTAAGCGCATCCGCATGCCTGTGTCTACGACAACTCGGCCAATCTCTGCCGGAATGCCGCCACCATCTCGCAGGATTGCTGCTGCGTCCGGAAACTGGATCGCCAATCGACCTAGGTTGAGGGCCGCGGCTCCTTGGTTGGTGACGGTGAGGAAGGTGAAGCAGCCTCCTGTGCGAGTTTCCACCCCAGCAGCATGGCGAGCCGCGGTGTTAACATCCGCGGGAATTGTTCTGCCACGAAAGAATTGTAGCAAAGCATCTCGGGCAGGTTGTTGCACTCTTGCTGCTTCCAAGAAATCCAGCATGGCCGGATCCACAGAGCGAGCAGCTTCGTGGTGTTCCAGCTTGACGTACAGAATTTTGTTGTGTGCACGCTGCTGT